GAGCAAGACCCACTGGTTTTTGAGAAAGTGGGTCCAAAGATTTCTGTAGGCCTTGTAGGCCTGATTAAGGTTCATTTTTCATCTATTAATTCTCATTATTTGGAAAAAAAAAAAAGAAAAATCAATAATTACAACCTACAAGAATTGCGCTACCTAAATCCATTTCAGATATACTCCGTCCTGTTTTTAATGAACCAAACTTAATGCCATCCCCGTTTCTGGCTGCGTCCCCCTCATACTCAGCAGAGCATGGGCAAGACGGCTGTTGTGTTCTTTCCTGCAGCAGCAATGCAAACGTTAGTTATAAATTAGACTTTAATATTTTTGGTGTTTAATGACAAGTTTTTAAACTGGACATATTAGGAAAAAATATTTTTTTTAGCTCAGCATGCTGAGTCTGGTACTGTGTATTTCACCAGTACATGCCTCTAACTCAGCATTTGGGGCCCATGCTGCCCAGTGGTTGGGTTAGAGGTGCCTTGCCATGATCTCAGAATACAGTCTGTTGAATTATCCTAGATGAAAATAAAGGCAAACCAACATATTCATCCATTAGGATTTTGGTCCATTCTGTTTATTAATTACCTTTTATTTTGCATTCTTAATTTCCTTTTTAATTTAATACTGTTTGAACTCTGAGCTTAGGTAAGACTACTACCAAGAAAGGCCAGGGACAGTTGACTACACAGTGAAGAGTCCATGCAAAACGTTCAATATTGGATCTAAAGGGTTTCAAAATGTTTCATACTAAACTGTTTGGGAATATATCTGTTAACTCTCTGTACACCTAATAAAATTCAATGTTTTCTTCTCAGAAGAGTTCATTGAGACCAAACTGAACCTCATTTATTGAAAATTATATGTGGGATCAAGGTACTGGCCTCTTGTTATTCTTTCTCTGTGGGAGGATGACCCGGTTGTCATTTTCCCCATCTGCACTGCATTTATTGGGAAATTATTTTGTCACTGCTTTCATAAATCTTCATGACAGCCCTTGCCCAGCATTAAAAAATTCTGGCCTGCTTAGCTGATTAAAGGTTTAGTATAAATTTAACTGTTTATGCATATTTCATTTTCATATTGGATTCTACTTGAATAAATAAAAAGTTAGCAGAACGTTTGAGTAGATTTATTGTCAATGATGCTAAATTACAAATATGAAAAAAATTATTCCTTTGGTCATTTCTGATTTGGTGTTATGTCATTTTGAAGGCTATTGTTTTTAACGGGATCAGTTAAAATACATTAGATAAATTCTGTTAACCAATTATTTTCAGAAAACATATACCCCATAATATGTGGCAAACAATGAGCACTTTTTAACTTGTAATCCAATCAAATGGGCTTAATAGACACTACTTACAGCATCACGCACACACACACACACACACACACACACACACACACACACAGCGCAAACAACCCCATCTATTCGTTATTGATAATCAGCCCTACTTGCTGGTTTCTTTTTCCCCTGCGAGTCTGTTTATTGTTTTAAATTAAGACAAGATTTATTTTTGTAAATGACTGAGATTTATGTAAATGTGTACCTCTGTTGTGTTTTATATATGGGGTGTCTATAAGGGCATTTATCCCTATGAAGGATGTCAAATACTTTCTTCTAATATATGTTTAGACATTTTGCAGAGGGGTCCTTGTTATCTGTAATTTAGTTAGGTCATTTACTTTTGTCTGGTCTCACCTGTTGCATGGGAAGAGGGCAGCACTGATGAACTGCATGTAGTAGGTACCTGTGTATCAAGAACTGTTGGTATGTATTGCTAATTTGCATACAAAGAGTTTGTCTGCATTGTACAGTTTTTGTGTTTAATATCATTTGTTGTATTCACAAATACAACATATTGAATAAACTATATGAAGGCATATTAAACAACATCAAACAACTTTATCTAACAAAATGGCATTGCATCACCCACCAATATATAGAAATGTCATGTAAATAAGTTGGTAAACTCAATTTTCCCCTTTACCATGCCAAAGAAAATTTTAGCTCTTTGATGATACCTCTCTTGCTATTTGTTTGGGATAAGACTTCACCACTTTTTTCCTTCAGAAATTAAGTTTGCTGTTATTAAGTAAGTGCAATCTGTCACTACTGATGTTCCGTATAGTAAATCTGATGGAATTCATTTGTATTTAAAGACCGTGTGTTTTGTACCTCCATGTGCATATGTCCATTGTATCAAAAGTCTCTAGAAGACTCCATTCCTTCTGCATGCATATCTAGTGTGGGAGGGTTAGTTCTACTGATTTGTTAGAGTAGCCGATTGCTCTGCCAATCCCTCAACAATGCTCGGAAATGTTGTTTTGATATTTCAAGTGACAACATTTTTGTTTTCTAATAAGATTGATTTTTAAAACATTTTGCTACCACTTTACTTGGAAAAATTAGAGAAGACATGCAAGTTCTCCACCCTGTGTAAGGAGCAAAATGGAACTGAGTATTATTTCATTACAAATCCTGAAGAATTCGGAGATTCTTGCCCTAAATGTTGGCTTGTCCTGAATGGTTTTGGGTAGGGGTGATTTAAAGAGATCCACGATGGGGCCAAAGGACTCCTGCTCCAGTTCTTCTAGTAGTTTGCCTCTTAGGGAGCAAGCAGAGTTTCTTTATCTTACCTGGCCACTTACTTAGTTAATATTTTAAGCACCAAAAGAGTTCTTTTTATCAGGATGAACAGTATCAGATTTGGTTCTCTTTAAAAACCAAAAACTTCTTATTTTTTAAGTTAGACATCTATCACTTCGTTTAAAATTACCCAATATTAGAGATAATTAGCATTTGATACATATTTAAGAAGAGACCACATTGACTAACATCCAGTTTAGAAAGATGAAAATAATTGAAAATTATTTTCAATTTTAATTCAGTACAAGGCTATATCAAGAGAAAGCTATTGGGCTAAATCCTCAATTATTTTCCAAACTGCAGGCATGTCAAAATCCAGGATGTACATTGTGTTACTTTGAGTGAAATATAAGTCATAGCTTAGGTTTCTTAGCCTGCAATGTGAAACTCTTGACTATCGTGAATATTGAGTAGGGTTTCAACGTGTTGATGATAGTTGAGTCTGCAAACTAAGGATGAGTTATATTTTAGTTTTGTTTTTTTTCTTGATTTTCACAAAGTCTAATTCCAATGTCTACTGGCAGAGATTATATTTGCATTTGAGGTGGTGGAGGACATTCCTTCCAAAGTGCTACTGGAATCCAGATAAACTCAAGGAGCCCGGAAAGGCAATGGGTATAATGTCTCTCCTCTTATGTCTTTGCACTTTAGTTGACTTTTTTTGGAAAAGTCCCCGGGTGGAATTTCTCAGTGGTGACTTGCTAAACAAGCAGGGTTAGTGCCAATACTTTCTGTAAACTTGTTGCATCCCTTCCAATTGACGTGAATCCCACTGCAACCTCCTCAAACCAGAATGAGCCAATCAGATTTGCTTATTTTCTCCCACCTGTTATAAGTTTGTTCTTGCCCTGCTTGCTTTTTAGAGGGAGTTTCTATCATAGAGTTGGAAAAGTACAAAATCATATTTTAGAAGAAAAAAGTTTGTCTTTACATGTAATTATTTTTTCCAATCTAAATTCAATCACTTCTTAATAGATATATTGGTGTTTGCATTGCTGGCATCAAAACCACACATATACACACAAACACACACACACACACACACACACACACACACACACACACAGAAATATAGTGGACAGAAATAAGTCAAAATAAAATATTTCTGTTTTCAAAGAAAATGCATTCCTTAGAGTTTAGGTATCATGTAACTTTGTTATAATACATTTCCAGTACTATGGTTTCTAACTAAATGAACACTGGAACAGAACTGACCATGTTTTCATCTTTGTCCAACATTTTAAACTTTATGGTATAATTTCTCTAATATCTAAATTATTTTTCTGAGAAAACAAATGCTGAGAACATTTTTGACACTGTTCTTAAATAAGACTATGAAAAAGAGCAGCACTTTTGTTGTAGTTATTGTTCTTAATAAAAAGGATAACAACAGAGGGTTATAAAAAAAAAAATAAGACTCACCTGAGGTTTTGTGATGAGCCATAGAGAATCAAGGGCAGTTCCAGTGGAGCTGAGGCTGACAAAGTACTGTTCAGCTGCCAGCCAAATCCACCCTTAATCTGTTTTTGTATGGCCTGGGAACTCAGAAGGAATTATTTTTTTTTTACAGCTTTAAAGTGGTAAAAAGAAACAAAGAAGACTATGAGACAGGGATATATGTGGTCTGTAAAGTTTAACTTTCTGGTCCTTAACAGGAGGATAAACCCTGGGATAAGAGAATCCAAAGCTCATTTGTATTAGGATGGCTAGATAATGTAATGGATTCCAATGTCTGTGCATTAGCAAATATGTCATCAAAATTGCTACAGAACAATAATAATAGGTTGTTTGCAGCTTAAAATGTTTAGGTAGTGAAGAAGAAAGAATATAACCTACATTATTTATTGACTACCTATATTTCCCTCATTTTACAAAAGAGAGATATCAATTTACTTAATAATAGAACTACAACATGGTTGCATTCCTTAATCTCAGGATAGAGATAACAATTTTATAAATGTATTACATTATGAGAACATTATTAGTACTAGAAAAATCAGCATCAGTTAAATGTTCTCTTAAAATAATTTTCAATATTAAATTTTTAAGTAACTCAGTGGATGCATATTTTCCTTATTTTTGGTAATTTGACTTATAAAATTCAAACCATGATTCTAGAATACTTACATCATTAAAATAAAATTTCCAAGTAAAAATTTTCATCTTAAAATAATATAGAAATGATTTTGCTACATTATTATAGGATTTTACAAAATAACTCACCTTTAGAAAAAAAAGTGGTTTTTTTTTAAGCTCTAAATAACTAAAGGTTGCCTAATGTGTATAAGTAGATTTACCTGTAAATATATAAAGGAAGTCCCAATTATTGTACATTTTCATAATTCAATGTGAATTTCATACAAAGCAAAGTTTCACCATTAAGAAAATAAAAATTTTTGTTCCTATCACTGAGTGAATATTTGTAATTTCTATTTAAGCCATTTCTAGATTTTTTTTTTTTTGGTCCTTTTGTGAGCCTCTGAGATTGGTGCTATTTTATCACAATATTTCTTTTCTTGATTCTTTGCATGAACCCAGGTTTCCAGAAAGGTATCCTTAGAAAAAAGAAAGCATTTTAAGGGAAATGGATGCATACTTCAGTCCCATTATATATGTAACTGAATATCATCTTTTTAAAAGGCCACATTACCATGGAATAAATTAAAATTTAAAAATCCAGCTTCTTGTACACATAACCCCTGTCCAGTTTTTAAAATGTGATCCCTTATTTCTAAAAACCTAAAATGGATATCCCTGAATAACAATTCATTTTTAAATTAATTATCAGTAGGTAAATATATGCTGACACAGAGTATAAACAACTTCTGTCACTATTTATTTAAAATGTTACATTGTACATTTTTCATAATTTGAGAATCTTCTTTTAAAGTTTAAAGTGAGAGTAGACAAAGTACTTACTCATTTAGTATTTAAATGATTTAATGACAAATAACTTAATGACTAGTCTTTGCTCTTGATCCAGCCCCAGTTTGACTTTCTACCTCCTGTGTGTTTCTCTTCATTGTCCCCACGTGAAAATGTTGACTGGTAGGGAATTCTGGAAAAATCATATCCATTGATTAATATGAATATGCTTGTTTTCCTTAGATTCTAATATGGTCTTTCTTGTGTAAGAATGTGGATTTCTAATAGCCATGCAATTCAGTGTTTCTCAATTTGGGCACTATTGACATTTGGGGCTGGGTCATTCCTTGCTTGGGGGTTATCCTGTGCACTGGAGGATGCTAAGCAGCATCCCTGGCCTCTACGCACCAAATGCCCACGGCATATCTTCACACCCCACCCCATGTGACAATCAAAATTGTCTGTAGATGTTGTCAAATGTCTTTTGGGTGGAAAAATTGCTCTCGTTAGGAACCACTTATGTTAATTGTGGAAGAAACATTTCTTTTCTAGTGTTATTTGCATCTGAATTTGCATAACTCATTTCTAATAGGTACTCAGATTTCATTCGCAATTCAGAAATAGAAAAACATACAATGGTCTTTTTAGCCTGTCCTAGTGGTGATTATACATGGTTTCCTTTGCATTTATATGTTCTAATGGCCTAGTAAAATAAGAATCCAGACCTCTCTCATGTAATTGTTAAGGATATTCTGAGCCAAGCCAGATTTCACATGCATTTCCATTCCATCCATCCCAGCATTCACAGTTTCCACAGCTACATATTCCGTTTCCTGCAATAAAACACACGAGAATCATGATCACGATAAAAAATGTGCCAAGTTTAAACATGCTAATATAAATCATAAGCGTCCACAATGAAATCATTTCATTCATCCTTGGTATAATTTCTTATTGTGCAACAATATTATTATATCTTATTAAGCCGCTGTGAGATGTCTAATCTTTCAAACAATCAGTGGCATTTATCTGGTGCCACCATTTACCGATGAGATAGTAACAATCCTGTATCACCCTGGCTAGGCTTTTAGGTGACAATTTTGTTTTCCCTTAGAGAGCAAGTTATGTCTGACTTATGAATAAATACTGAAAAACAAAGTTCTTTGACATAACATGAGGCAGGCCACATAATTAGCTAGAAGACAGTCTTATGTAGTAGGGATGGTTGGGAAGCAAGGGTCTAACTTAATGACACACCCAGCCAGAGCTGAGGAGGACAAGTATACACAACTCTGTTTCCTCTGTAACTTGGCTAAAAGCAAATGAATTTATAACCAATTATGAGGACTCAATAAATTAGGATAACTCAATAAATTAGTGGCTATGACACTGCTGAGCCCTCTTTACACCTTTCCCCATACACATCCAGTTCCCTAAAAGCAACCAACACATCAATGAGTGGTACTCAGATTCTGTTTAAAAAAATATTCCATTCCCTGTACGATGTTCAAAGTAAAATGGTTGCCAAGAAAATTCTATTCTGTATTTAATATGTAACTGCATACATGTGCGTTTGAGGAGGAAGGTTACTTTGGGGAAGTATCCCAAATAATCACAGAATTCAGCTTCATTCTCTTGTATTCTTCTATGCCTAGGAATAATGTCAGGGCTTATTCCCAAATGCCCACTTCCCCCTTGGTAGTTACTTCATATTCACAGTTGGCCCTCTTGGTCCGGCTACCGAAAGCATTGCATGATAAGTGTCCCTTGGCTCTATAACAAACTGTGGCATAGAGCAATTAGAAAAGGTTAATACTGCACCTGTACAAATGAGACCATCATGTTTGTCGCAGTCTCTGTCATCACAGTCACAGAATTCCCCAGAAATATACCATTCTTCAGCAGAACAAATGCACTTTCCACAATGACAAGAACCTGAAATTACAAAGGCTATTACTTGCCATCACAAAATAACTAAAGTTTTCCATCTTGAATACAATATCGTTGACACACTGACAACAGGCTTCTAATAACCTATCATCCAAAGGTAAAAGTGTTTTGAATGGTTGGTTTCTCAGAGGGGAGCTTTACTTACTGTAATTCATAAAGGTCATCCAGGAAAGCCTTCATTATAGATCTAGACAGTTGCAATTAGCCTTGAGCAAATGTCCCATGGCCCAGTCTGGTTGAAATGTCAATGAGAACGGAATGGGGCTGATTCTTATAGATGGTCTTCCAAAAAGGTATTCAAAAATAGATTTCCACCCCCCAAATTGAATCAAGTTTTTAAAGTGCCTGTTCTTTAAAGGAATGAAATAGGGAATTGTATTAAATTAGGATGCATTTCTAATTAAAATAATTACTAAATTATTGTGCTTATAATTTTGGATTTTGTTTACATGATTTCCTTGGAGTAGCACACCTGCATATTGGGTGGCTAATTAAGTGCTAAAAATGCACACAATCACTCAGTATATCTGCCTTATGAGACCTCATCTTCAGGGTTCTCTGTCATAATCTAGGATAGCTCAAATACTCCCAAAGTACATCCTTTATGAGGCTCTGGATTCAACTCTTTTCCCCTCCACTTCACCCATTTCTCCTCCTACCTAATTAAAAAACTGCCTCTTTGGTTATTTAAAATACCCTAATTTACTGAGTAAAAATTGTATTAGTGGTATATTTTAAATCAAAGAAAATAAATTAAGTAAAGGGCATCCCAGACGGAAATAAGTTCTCTCAGTATAAACAGCTTTCCATGACAGGCTAAAAACCCTTACATGGAAAAACTGTCTCAGTGACAGCAGGAAGGACTTTAAAATGAGAAAGAAACAAATAAAAAGAACTTCCTTTTCCTCCTATTTCCTTGAGTTGGTTGTTCTTTCCAAACATGACTTCCCTTTACTAAAAGATGGCTATCACTAATTTTTTAAGTCAAAATCCACCTTGAAAGAATATGCAGTTGAAAAACATATTTTGGCATATTTAACAAAACCGTAGAATTGTAAGTTCAAAATATATTGAAAAGGGGCAAGAATCAATCATTAGTGCTTCTTTTAAAACACAGTGATTAAAAATGAGTTAACAGCCGGGGTGATTAAAGTGATTAGGGAAAAGGAATTGTGGTCATCACAGATATCACGAAAGGATTCAGGTTTATATGTCCCAAGCATGAAGTACTATGTGATATTTCATATCAGGGAAACTGGTATATGCAATTTAGCTGCAAAAATCCCCAAAGGCCAAATTAAATGTTTGCCATTTCTTGACACACTTCTCAAGGTAAGAGAGCAGTCAAAATTAGTTCTATTGTGACAGTTGTGTTTTCATTTATTTTTAACTTCTTGCTTAGCTATGGCATAATTCCATTTAGTCTTGACTTGTTTTCCTGAGAGTCCAGGTTGATTTGCATGCTCTTGAGCAAAATAGACACATCTTCTGAGTTTTGAGTGACTGACAGCCCAGTGGTGTCTCAGGACCCAGGATGCTGCTTCTTTCAAGTCAGTCTGCAAGAAATGCTGGTCCTCTTGCGGTCTCATCCAGATGCAGAGTTTCCTGATTTTAGAAACATTTTAATTCTAATTTTAAAGACTTTCTTTCACCTTTCTAGGCATAAAAATGTTCAACACTACTGCTTGTTTTACAAATGTATAGTGATAGATACCTGCCCACAAAGAACACATGAAGTATGTAACTATCAGAGAAGTTTCCTCAGAAGGCACCATACTTAGCGCTTTATTTCCATGAGTAGAGGAAGATTAATTCTTTGAAGAATTTGACTGTGTTTAGTTGTTTCTAAAGTAGTGTCTGATTTTATATTTCTATAATATTCATATATACACCCAGCGTATCATTTTATGTATGTCACAATTCACGAAAAGATCTTATCTTTCATCTCAGACTTATCCTCTGGCCCTGGAACTATTCTAATCACTGCTCTTGCTTCTGGAATGCTTAGCTTCATGCCGTGGTAAAGCGTTTTCAGAAAACTGGTAAGCTCAGCTAAAGTTAATATGGCATATACGGATCGAGCATCTGATAAGTAAATTCCAGTTCCAAAAGTCTACTAGTCACTGAAATACTTAGAATAAAAAATGAGGATTGATTTTGTATGTGTCGTGAAACAATAGCTTTTCTAGGTCAGCACTTTCCCGGCTGTGTTATTCTTTCCTGTTTGTCAATGCTCAGTGCATCTTAGAGGTAGGAAATTCTTCTACTGCTTGTGAAACTAGGGCTAGATAGCATGTAGTAATAACACACAGTGAATAGTTATTAGGACCTATTATAGCACTTTTCTTGTAGAATGCTCTAGCTGTCTGTTTTCTTCCTTAACAGGGGTCAAACTGTCCCTCTCTTAAATGGAAACAAACAGGGAGTGGATTCCATGTAGGCTGCATGATTACCAAGTGGTGAGAAATGGTTCAGCTCAGCTGGCCAAGACCCATTCACAGCCCCGAGACCCAGCCCAGCCAGAGAACAGCTGGCTGATCTTGGCAGGAGTACTACAGCAGAAAGTTCATCACCATAACGCCACTAGTCCATTTCTTTCTTAATATTAGGACCCTTAAGAATGTTCCCGTATCCCTTCTGTGCATTTTTCCTGGCTTCCATCCCTGTGGAATCAGCCACATTTCCTCATGAAGATTCAGAGCATTTTAGGACATAAGAAGGGGAAAGAAATGAAACGTTACCTTCAAAGATGAGAATGGAAGTCGATGAGAATGGAAGTCAATGAGAATAAAGCTATTGCCCTGGACCTCACAGGCAATAAACACCAGTTAACTGAAGACTTCACTCTGATTCAATCCACACTTCTTTTTAGTGAACTATCTATGATGTATCCACCAGCAAAAACTCTCATATACAGTAGTTTAAAAAATGAGCTGTGTGTTCCTGCAGGTCTGACTGCACAGGCATACTGAGGGAGGCAACCTGAACACCAGGCTGAGGCTGATTTTGTGGCGCATCTTTTACTCTTTGTCTTTTCTGAGGATGTGGAACAGGGGCATGGGTGGATGAATGTGTGTGTGTGCTGGACTTATTTGGATAACGTGGGACCCAAGAAGTTTCACTGTGAGAGTTTAAGAAGACATTTAATGATATGTGGTTTATAGCCATTGTCACACAACAGCATCTATAAGAAGATTGGCTGTGATTATCTGGATCTAGCTTGAAGTAATAGAGGCAAAGACATAATTGTATAGTCTTGGATCCAAATAAATAAATCTCCAAAAGAATAAAACATCCCAAAGTGAACTATATCATGTACTTTGCAAAGTTAGCTAAGCTTAGGGGAGACCCAGCATGGCACTAACCTCATCTCTCTTGGTTATTCACAAAAAAGATTTCAGTCTAAGGGCAAGGCACCTTTGTCAGTTGCCCATTCCATTACTAACATTGGACTTTATTTTTCATTCAAACCTGATGAAATGCTGCATCCTGACATCCCAGCAGGCAGTTTTCACTATTGTACTAACTACTCCATCTGCTACGAAGGTTACAACAATGTATCTTGTTTTAAATTTTTCTATGGAGTGATTTATTGACTTGGCTATAAATTTGTAAAGAAATAAAACGCTATTTCTTTATCATCTCCTGAGGTGACAGCTTTATTCACAGCTCATGGGAAACGCATGTTTCAGCCTTTTAGTGGGTACGGGCCACGAAGCGGTGTGCCATGGTGACCTCATGCCCACTGCTCAGGTCTGTCCCATAATCAAATAAAGGAGCACTCTGAATATCTTCTGTGACCATCAGGGTGAGGGACTTTCATTGTCAAATTTGAGGAAAATGATAGGAAATTTGGACAAGTCCATGAGATTGAACAAGGATACATGACCCCAGACAAACAACTGGAAACAGATTTCTCTTTTCCATCACTATATTAAAGTCCCTTAGTCTATTTCATGTATTACTCTTCCTGTGGTTCCTGGGGTGGAATGTGGGGCAGTGCTCCCCACTGGAACCCAGAGTAACTGTGGCATCCCCATTATCCTCTGTGCCTACCAGAGATCACAGTTCCATGATCCTGGTTTTGTCCCCTTTCTTCATCCCTAATCCAGAACTGATGTCTCCATAATAGGAGAAAAGAAGGGAGACTGCAATCAGCTGCTGCCAAGAGTACGAATGCCCGTCCACTAACATGAATGTCAGCATGTGCACCCTTGGGGCAGCTTTCCTATTCCCTTTTGAGCTTAAAGACTCCAAGACTCTCTACCCACTGAAGGATAAACAAATAGTTTAGACAAATACGCTTTCAGCTCTTCATTGATCTCTGAATATACTGCCACCACCCAAAGCAAACAATTTGCAAAGGCGTTAGCTAGGGAGACTCTGGCTTTGTTTTGTTTTGTTTTGAGGAAATGCCTCTGCGTCAGTATTTAGTCAACCTATTTTTTTCTTTGTAGTTTCTACATTTATGATGCCAAAAGATGAGAATCTTTCCTAGGGCTGTAATGACTTTAATAAGAATGTTTATTTCTTGAAAAGAAACAGCTTTTGCTGCATGACATTCAGTTTAGGAAATGGAAGACTGCTATTCGTGACCTGGAGAGCATGGCTTTGTGTGTTCTTCCTTAACTTGCAGTTGGACAGGTCTTAGGGAAGACCTGCTTATGGACATGGTTAATGATTCAACAGCAAGTGTAGTAAGCACATAAACACAAACAATAGCTGACTTTTAAAATAAACAAATATAAATAAGAACACTAGTGTTTTAATATGCATGGGTATCCTCATTCAGTAGAGCCTCTGTGAAAAGCTCCTATTCTTATCCCAGTGACAATGCCACTCCAGAAAACCAAGTAAAAAGCTATCTAAACTTAAGTTTTCTACATCTGAAGCAATGCTCAGAGAAAAAAATCTAATTTAAAAACTATTCACTCTCAGTATCTTTTTATATACAGATCATTCTCCTGTGATCTGATAACATATCTTTTCTTCCCTCTTACTTCTCTCTTGCAATTTAATTCCATCCCTGCCTCCTTTCCTGCTTTTCTTCATTAATCTCTTTCTCCCCAGTTCTTTCCCTTGTTCTCTTCCTTTTAAGCTTTCTTTTTGGTCCTCTCAACACAGCTTGAATTCAAGGTAGGTGTTTCTAGAAACTGAGGCCCTTTGAGAACAGAACTGGTAGAATATTTGTTTGGGGCTTGAAATTAGATTAAATTAATGAGAGAACAAACAAGTCACAAAGCAATTGCTTTAAGCTCATTTTCCACCTGCCTGCTGTAATGGCATTAGGTTGAAGACATGGCCTCCTTGCCTGAGCACTGTAAACACAAGTTTTGAACACAGAACGCCTGGAAACCAAGGATACTGTTATCTATCGATGTCAACACGTTTACATACATTTTCATCCCCCTTCTGGGCACCACCAATAGTCAAAGCATCTATCCTCTTTTATGTCTGAAGTTCTGCCAAAAAGTCTCTTTCATAGCATTAGTCTTGCAGATGAGGCAAAACAAAAGCTACTGTTTAGAGGACACATGGCACATCTTGCTTCAGGGACATCCTTCCTTCCTGTGTGTGTGGTAGCCTCACTGGTGTGGTTCTTTGACGATAGGATTCAGAGTCTCTAGCACACTTATGATGCACTGTCTTCTTCAGAAAGTTGTTTGTATGGTCATCTTGACCAGAGCAGATGTTTGAGGGTAAATGAGGCTTCAGCCAGGGCTGTGCCTTGTCTGAAAAAGAAAGTTGTGTCTGTTGTATAAGGAGGATACTGAGCTGAAGAGGACAGCTGGGAAGCCCCATAACTTCTGCTTCTTTGAAGGGCTGCTACCCAGACATGAGCTGAGAATCTTTCAGGCTGTGTCTTCCTAGTCACTAGCAAAAAAGAACACAGCAGCTTTCTAGATGATGCCATATGCATTACAATGGCAGGATTTTAAAGTCCCTTCAGGAACAGTTTACAGAAACATCAAAATTAAGGTTTTCAAAATTTAATCTGTTAGTATTCTTTACTTAGGGAAAACCTGTTCCAATTTCTCTGTGTGTGTGGTGGGGGGGTATGTGTGTGTAGGACGGGAGATGGGGAAGGCTTTCTTTTTCCTTGAATGTGTTTCTGTGGCAAATGTTTTATTGGGTTGGTGGCTTCTATTCAACCAACTTGTAGGTTATAACCATTTGGCAGGTTTTTTTTTTTTTTTTTCATTACTTTTTTTTTTGGAGATGGAGTCTTGCTCTCTCACCCAGGCTGGAGTGCATTGGTGTGATCTCGGCTTATTGCAACCTCCTCCTCCTAGGTTCAAGCTCTTCCCCTGCCTCAGCCTCCCAAGTAACTGTAATTACAGATGTGAGCCACAATGCCTGGCTAGTTTTTATATTTTTTTTAGTAGAGTAAATTTTTGTGTTTTTCATCATGTTGGCGAGGCTGGTCTAGAACTCCTGACCTCAAGTGATCCGACCGTCTTGGCCTCCCAAAGTGCTTTAATTACAGGCATGAGCCACTGTGCCCAGCTGAACAATTACCTATTTGCTTATATCAGGCTGAACGTGTTTACTTGGAACAATTGGTGATTTTTAGGTCAAAGAAAATTACATCAGATTTGTGAGATACTACCCACCCCCATAGCTTTTCTTTCCTTTTCAAAACATTAAGCTCAATTAAACTAAATATTTCGTCTCCTTTTATGTCTTCTCACACCTTCAATCCCTCCCTGCTCCATACACAGCTAAATAATTTTGCCCCAGAAGTTCCCAAGGTCATATGTTTTGGTAGCTCAGATGCTTGTGATTACTTTTCCACAGTTCTGAGCTGTGTTGTTTTAGAGGTAAGCTCGACAATCATTCTTTGGCCTTTTTTCCCCTTTTGTGGGTCCATTTAGTACCCAGTATATTTTGTTGTCCTAATTTCTTTATATAAGTATTAATTCTACATAATTCAGCAATAACTTCACTTACAAGGATATTTTTGCATGAATCTTCTTGCATGCATTTCATTTCTTAGATTTAAAAGTCCAATTGGTTAATCTTCAAGCTGCAAGTTGGGTACAGCAGAGGACATAGTGGTTTGCTTTCATGCAAAGTTCAGTCTGGGAAAGACAGTTGCTACATGCTGTTCTACCAATCATGTGTCAGAACAGGAATCGAGTCCAGGCTCCAGCAGAGACACTCACCCTTCCCCGAGCACAATATGCCATCTGCTGATTCACACAGATTCTTGCTTTGTTCTTCCGTCATGTTACACTTCCGCGGATGTTGGCAGAGCCTCCCAAACCATCCTCTCTCACAAACGCAGCGACCACAGGAACATGTGCCGTGGCCTGTGAAGCAACCACAGGGAGGGAGTGAGAGAAGAGGATGAGTAAATAACCAGCTGAAGCAGAGGGTTTTAAGAAAGAGATGTATAAACCATAGGATCTTATTTCCCACCCAACACATTTTTTCTTTATGCATAATCAATTTGGCATGCAATTGTTTAAAAGGACTTACAACAGAGTTCTAGCTTAACATAATAAATTTGAATGTAGCATAGTAGATAGACTTGAGAAAGAAATCTTGCAATAATTCAAAATAGAATTATACCACCCTTTCTTGATAGAAAATACTTCTTCATTTGCATTTTTATCAGTATGGAGTCTTAGTGCTATCCTTCATTGCACACACCGTGCCGTCCAGACCAATTTATAAGGCTAGTCACATTACCACTGCTGGCAGTATTTATTGATTATTCTCCTGTTGCTTACTAATAAAACAGAAGGTTAACTTTCATACGAATGGCATTTAGCACTGTATTACTTTATCAGTGTAAATATCTCCTTACTAATAATAAGAGATAAAAGTGGAAGTCATAGTGTCTATTATTGCATAAAGTTAACATCAGCTTGGTTTCACATTTGGCTCCTTTTTTTAGTTTGGTTCCTGACATTGGTTCCTGGTTTTTAAGATGTTTATCTTTTGGTATACATGAAACATTGTATTTGTGACAGCTATATACCAGGATGAATATTTGTTTAGTTGCTTGCCACCAACACACCATTAGATTGCATGATATTCCATTTCAATTTCTTCCATTTAAGTTTCCACTCAACCCTTTCTTCCTTTTCCTGATATGTGCATTGTCTTACAGCAGGGTCTCTCTGAATCAACTATTTGCCTAGCAAAGAGCTACTGAGTATCTATTATAAACAGAGCATTTTGCTAGGCACTAAGGGATAGAAAATCAAGCATGATGGACAAAGTGGTTCCTGCTCTTCTCTCAGGGACAGATACATTCATCAGTCACACTGATTAGCCTCTCTGAAGCTGTTGACATCATTCTCTGTTGACCATTCGCTCTGGCAGGACCCTCAAGAGTGAACCTTGCTCCAGCTGCTTTCCCTCCATTCAGCTCTGCACGAGGATAAGTTACCAATGCTTAATGGTTTGCAATTAATTATTATAATAATTTTTTTAAGGAGTAATAGGATTTTCTTGAATTTCTACAGAAATCCCTCTAGAGGGATTTCTGTACACCTATCTATTTCATGGATGAATGTAATCGATGGATGTGAGAATTGGGAGCATGAAAGTGAGCAGACTGGTGGAGAAGTCCAAGTTATGGCATGAGAAATATGGTGATGAAAAATGCAGAAGTGTGAATGGAGTGTAGGACACTTGGGAGAATGAGGGTTGGTAGGAGATAGTAAGTGACTGTGGTGAAAAGAAAGTTTTTGATCACTGAGAGGTAAGGAGGTAAGTAGAAGTCTCCTGGAAAGGGTTTCTTGGAAAACTATTTTTTTTTTAAATAAATGAAAGAGATTTTCCCTTGGTCATACCATGTCCCTGCCTTGCAGGCTATGCAACAAGTGCCTCCCAACAGCCAGAGGAGGTCTGGGAGAGCAGTTTTTAAATCCAGCATATGTTGTTCCACTGGAGAAAATTGGGGTCCTGAAAGAAAGGCAGGGTACCAGGAATGTCTAACCTTCTTTTAAAGAATATGTTGGGAAAAACATCAGACGCCAATGGGACACTACTAATTGTGAAGAAAAATGTCGCTGCCAATACCTCTAACATGCACTCAATCAGCATGTGCTCTGGCACTTTCTAAGGTTGATGACTGTTCAACACACAGGTTAGCAAAAATGGAAAAAAGTGAATAAATAAATGAGTAAATAAATAAATGAGGTAATTGTGGTCTTTTTCACTGAGCTTAAGTGAAAAGTAAAAACAGGCAACAAACAAAAAAACCTCAAAACTGAAACCCTGAAAGTAAAGTTTAAAAGTAGCATTTATGTAAATATGTGACTGATAATTCGCTCAGCCTGAGAAGCTAAAGGAAGACTGCAAAGTGAAAGCCTACTATGCAGGTGGCTCAGCTTTGTAGAAGATGAAATAAAGGTATAAATGGAGGTAACGTGGTGATGTTTTAAATTTATTCTCAACACAGCCTTGAAGTCTGGTATTAACTCCATTTTACAGTCAGCCAACTGAGCTTCAGAGAGATTCAGTGCCATAATTTCCTCTCAATCACATAGTTCAACCACACAGGATCGGAACTGACTCCAGTTCCTCTGATTCCAATATCTACACTCTTCCCAATGTGTTGCTTTGCCTCTATATTTCACTTCAGAAAGTGAGTCACAGCAGACGTTTCTTAATTCCTGTCTCTTTCAACCACTACATCATTTGAATGTGTATATTTGAGATTCACAGCCGCTTTCTCCTTGCAAGTCTCTTCTCTATTGGCATGACACAAGATTCTTGCTGCCCCAGTCAACACTCCTTTTTTTGTCTGTCTTTATTCTTATACTTTTTTTTTAACTGAACCAGCAAATGTAGGTATTCACCCAATGTTTATCTTTAATCATCTTTTTAAATCTCTCCATAATTTCTCCATTATCCATTTATCCGTTAAATTGCGGGCTTTCTGATAACTGCCAAGACCACAGGGCTGTTTCTCCAGCCCTGATTCTCTCCCACATTCCTGTCTCATGATTCCACACTTTGTGTTCTATTAATATCCTCAGTTAATATCTCCAGAGCTACATATATGATTTTTCTTTCCAAAAGCTGATTTTTTGTCTTTCTCATTCTTTTAGTGAACAGCTATCCTTTCAATCAACCAGTTCAAGATGTTTTCAGTCACATTTGAATTTCCCTTACCGCCCTCATCCAATGCGTTGTCAAGTCTTGTTGAAACCACCTCCAACATTCCCACTTATATCATCATCATAACTTTGGAGAAAACTTCCTATCATGTCTCTCCAATACTCTTGCTCATAGATTCCTACAGCACAACTCGATGTTCGTCATAGCTTTGATGTCTAGTCCTGTACAATTCCCTAATGCTCATGGCATAGAAGAATAGGCATAGAGCCAATGCTCATGGCATAGAGCATTAGGGAATTGTACAGAGCTCATAGCTTTGATGTCTAGTCCCTGTACAATTCCCTATGCTCATGGCATAACAAATGCTCACCTTTGTTATGTTTTAGCTTCATGAAAAACAGAGTCCCAAGCTACATCTCCAATCGTATTCCTTCTCTTCTTCCTTTAACCAAACTGGCCCATTCATTGTTCCCTGCACATCTGTCATGCTTTTCTAACACCATGTTTTTTCAGAGGTAGAAATGTCTTTCCCTTACTATACATATTCAGGTTCTGAGTGATTTTCAAAGCTCAGCAGAAGTAACTACCCCTGTGTGAAGACTTTCCTAATATCCCTAAGAGGAACTCATTGTCTCTCTTCTGAATTTCTATACTATCTTATTTTTTACCTCCCGTGGAACTTTACTGACTTCCATCTCATGGTATGTAGTTATCTGTTATTATGAATCCACTACTCTAATGTGAATTTCCTGAATAGGAATTATTTCTGTCAGCACTACAGTCTTCAGAGTGTCAAATGCAATGCCTGAGACACAGTGGGTCTTCAAAAACTTGGAGGAGATTGAGATTGTCTTTGTCAAAACATCTTTCTCATTTTTACCCACAAATCAAACTGTAGAGTAGAGCCAAGTTAGAAAATTGGCACCCCTAAAGAGCTATCTACTCGATGAATTATCAAATTGAGTACATCTTGATTTGTCCATTAAAACCAAAGTCCACTTAAAGTCCAGATCTCCTTAAACAGTTAAGTAAAAAGCTGTCCGTCTTTGGAGGCAGAGAATCTGTTGTACAAGAAACCAAAAAGAAAGAGAAAGAGAGCTTCTAGTACCAGCTTAATTGGGCTATGAACTTCTCAAAGGCTCACATTTCTTACTGACCCTAGGTTGGTAAGAATTGTCAACAATTTGACATATTGAAATAATTTAACCTGTATTGCATAGAAAAAGATTATCTTGTTTTTTTCCAAATGTAATTAGTGCATTATGGAAAATGAAAATACATCTTACGAAAATTTGTAGGATACAGCAAGAGTAATGCTTAGAGAGAAATTTACAGCATGAATGCAAATATCAGAAGCAGTGAAAAATATAAAATCAGTGATGTAACCTTTCACTTTAAAACACTAAACAACAGCAATATAGAACTAAATTGGTCCTAAGAAAATAAATAGAATCGATTCCATGACAAATCAATACACTTGGAAATAGAAAATCAACAAAGAAAATCAATAAAACAAAAGTTGGCTATTTGAAAAGATCAATAAAATTGTTAAATATATGGCCAAGCTGAACAGGTAAAAAGAGAGACGACACAAATGTTTAATATGAAAAATAAAAGCGAGATCATATCTTACCTCATGGATATTAAAAGGATAATAATAGAATATTATAAACAATGATTTGCCCACAAATCTGATAACGTATATCAATTGGACCAATTCCATGAAAGACCCAAACTATTAAAACCCACATAAAGAGATACAGGTAATTAAAGTAGACCTATAGCTACTTTTTATTTCTGTAATATTTTTTATTATGGTAAATAGATATAACATAAAATGTACTATCTTAGCCATTTGAAGAGTACAGTTCAGTAGCATTAAGTGTATTCTCACTGTTGTGCAACCATTACCACCATTCATTTCTAGAACATTCTCATCTTCCCACATTGAAACTCAGTACCCATTAAACAATAATTCCCATTACCTTCTCTTCTCAGCTTTTGGAAAACACCTGGGTACCTATATAAGTGAAATATATAGTGTTTTTCTTTTCATGACTGGATTATTTTATTTGACACAATGTCTTTAAGATCCTTCCATGTGGTAGCATGTGACAATTTTCCCCCTTTTAAAATCTGATATTCTGTCTTTGATTTAAGATACTATTGAGAATAATTTTATGGCCCCTCACTGCAAATAATATAAAATTTATATGTGAGAAAATAGATGATT